TTATTTGGCTTGTTCAGTTGGATGTAGTCATCTGCTTAACTTGTTCCAGTTTTGTTCATGATCTCAAATACCGCATTAAGATGTTTTACTCCATTTGTAACAGACCTCTTACTATTGGTCAAATGCAAGGCAAGTTTCAGCTGGTGCCTGTCCGTGGAACTGGGCATGCTATACAGGTTTATTTCTTCCATTTCTGCTGAGAATGCTGTACGCTCTTGCCAACTACACAAGCTTCGAAAGTTGAAATATTGAAAAAGAAAGAGCTAAAAATCTTACAATAAGATGTATGTAGCAGCCATATGAAACTCGTTATCTCTGCTTTCTCTCTCACTATACCCATACGTAGGAATGTCGGGATCAATTGCCAACATAAGATACCGAGAAATAGGAGTGAGGAGGATAGGTCTCACCGCTGGCTAATCTCGCAGTAGGTTATTTATGGAAATGAACACTCGCGCATACCCTTTTCTACACATGCATGCACACTACGCGCCCACCCACCCGCCCACACAGTATCTCTGTGTGTGTGTATGATTGTGTATTTGAGCAAGACTACTATTGATAACATCTAAGATGTGGATACTATCAATTCAAGTTGGAAATTTAGCTTTTTTAAATTGAAAATCTATGTTGTTGAATGTAATCAATACAATTGACACAGAAAAAAGATCATATTATCTCTGATATATTTTATCATTTCTCGTGATTTGCGAAAATCAACGCTTTAAAGTTTTCATAAAATTGATTAAAATTTCAGCTTAGTGCATGATTGAAACAAATTGAAGATCATTCAATATTGTTATTTCTAGATAGTCAGTATGTAGTAGATCACATCCATTATCACAGATTTTCAAATACCTGATTGAAACAAATTGGGATTATACAAGATATTACTTCTAGTCTTTTAGATAGTTGATATATAATAGTTCACATCCAATAACACTGAGTTTTAATACATTATGTAAACAAATTAAGACCATTCAAGATGTTATTTTTAGATAGAAGGTATGTTGTAGATCACAGCCAATAACAAAGATTCTCATTTTGGAAACTTGAATTTAAATTTGGAGCGATGCCATCCTGGATTATATCAGCACTAGCCTAACTCAATTCATGTATCTGTATATACACATGCGCATAGATGCACATACATACATATGGCAGAGGCTATCAATACTCCCAAGGGGTAACTAAGCTAGTTACGCCTATGTACTAACGTGCTTACAAGACATTTTTCCATGACCAAGTTGTGTGGATTCTCTCATTTTGATCATTATTGATAATAAATAATTATATTTTTTCTATGTGCTGTTTTACTGTAACTTGGTAATGAAACTAGGTAAGCTCTTTGCTATGCTTTCATGTCTGATATATACTCATCCCCCTTCAAAGTACACCTCCTTAGTTACCCTAAACTCTTGAACTTGATATTTGCATTGAATTGTTTGTTGATGTTTTCTCTGCTTATACAGGAAGATGTACCCGAAGAATTTGCAGAATATGTTCTGAACTTTATCTCTCACAATCGAATTGGACCTAATGGTGTTGAGGTTAGTAACCTACTGTCAAAAAGTGCCTATACACTACGGAGATTTTCATAGGTCAGCTCTTTTGTTTTCCTGCCGTTATATAAACTTTACAATTCACTGATTCAGTTATAGCATCAAATGGCATGTGATTTATAATCAATCTCCAGTTCAGTTTGTAGGAGCTTACTTTGTTCATTAAGTTACATCTTGCTTGATTTGTTTCAAAGGCCTACTTGTTGCCTGTTAATTACTGTAAAGGATGGTTAGCAAAATCCTCTCTGGTCACATTAGTTGTTGTAGGGGTCTTCATGGGAACACTACTTATCAATAATCGTCGTTGTTTACGGAAATTTCTAGCTATCCTCTTTTCTTCATGTGAACACTACTAAACAGTTTGTTTATTCCAAGTACTTTACACCCAAGCTCTACTGAACTAAATGTATGGCCAATGTGATAATTGTGGTGTTATGTTTTAACAATAAACATGGATCAGCACATTGAATTGAGAAAACACACTTTTTATGCCTGGGTATCTGCCTGGTCAATTTTATGCCTGCTCAAACATCTGACTGCCCCTTCATTTTTAATCCTGTGGGGCATCTTCCATGATACTAAACATCCTGTTCTGTCTACTACCCCGATGAGAAATCACCCTTTTGTTAGCAACTTATATTCTCTTCTATTGATGAAAAAATAAGGAAAATTTTGATTTAGATGATTTGACATTGTGTCATGAAGCTACTAAATTCATCAGGGGTTGTAATCAACGAAGCAAGGAGGACTGGAGATGAGGGCTGAGAAAATTTGTGTGAAGGCAGTTAAAGAATATGATTGTTTTTAACCTAACATGAGGACTTATGTTGTCAATCCCAAAATTTTGGAAGAAATGTTTACTCCAGAATAGGCCTTAAGAACCTGGGCTAGTTCAATGTAGATCCAGTTTCATTTTTTTTTCTTTTGTTGGATAACAGTTCCAACGAGTCCTGATTAGTAGGATCTTTCTGAGAATTCAGAAGGATCCTGCTGGCAACAATCAAGTCAGAGTAGCTCAGGATATTTCTCTTTCAGGTCCGTTTTAGAGTATTCGACAATGATCAGGTTCATCAGTATAGTTGGATATGGAAGTGAAATCTTAGAACCACTTCACCTACCAAAATTTCCCTGTATGAAGCTGACAATCACTATCGTTATTATATTATAATTTTTTATTTGCAAAAAAAAAACTATTTGAGCTATTTTTCCATTTATTGTTTGAAACCGACTGCTACGTTAACCTGCAGCCACATTCATCGCTAGCCATTATGAAATGCTTTAGCTATCACTTATGAGCCTGTACGAACATTCTGAAATTCATGTTCTAAATTGTAGGGAGACTTAATAAAAAGATTGTTGCTTATTTTGCAGATACCAGGTTTAAGTAAGTGGACAAAGAAATAGAGCAGAGTTCCAGGACTTGGGCAATGTGAAATAAATAAAAGTGACATTTTAGCTGAGCACACAACAGAGACGAGAGGCAAAGGCGCAATGTGAAAGATACTTCTTTGCAGATTTCGTTCCGATGGCATTAGCCATCTCTGTGACATGTGATGTAGTCAGATTTCTATGGAATGTTACCTAAAGGAAAGACAGGAAAGGAGAGTGGTTTTAGCATATGCAGCTCTTCTTGGTGCGTCCGCAGAGAGAGAGATGTATCCTTGTATGTTTCAACTCGTATTTCAGTAGACGTGCGGATATCTTTGCCGTGTGATCTATAAGAATCAAATGCTAAATTCAGATGATTGGCTGCAAGGCATAGATATAGATTTTATTATTATTATTATTATTAAAATAAAAATAGAACTTCATTCCAAGTGTTGTGAGAATCAATTCAGCGTCCTTATTTATTATACTATCTATTTGGTACATGCCCACAATAGAAATAAGAACATTGCTAGTCTCATGCACGCTACATTCATATTTGAGTACTTGTTAGTATAAATCTATAATGCCCAACATCGTGGTCTCTTTTGGGCCTCTGACTTGAGTACAAAAAATTGGACCTGATGCTATCACAAGAAAGCGGAAGCAGCGACCACCAGAATGGGGGGTTCGACTCCTATATCTAATATTAGTGTTAAAAATCTAAATATGAGTACAAAATTTCTGGCAGCGATAATTACAAGTACTATACTCGAAAGAGAGGCGTGGAGGGCTGCTCTTTAGCCACGCACTGGGATTTGATACACACTGTCGGAAGGCTTATGGGGAAATTCCCTCGTCAAACCGAAAAAAATAACAAGCACTATAATGTAGACAAAACGCCAGAAAACGTGACAAACAGAAACATATCTATTAAGCAAATACATTTCACGGGGCCTCCCCAAGAAAGCTGTACTAACTACTTATTATCACAAGAAAGCTAGAGCAATGACGAGAATAGGCGAATGACGAGAAAAGGGGATTCGAGCCCCATATCTAATACTACTTGCTCTAATCATTTGCTGGAGTTGGTGATTTTAGAATGCATGAACAATCTGCTCGTAAGAACTTTTATTTATTCAAATCACCACATATACGCTGCTCTACGTAAAACATGCGATAACATGGCACACCGAACACAAAAAAGATTTGGCTAGAAGTACTATTAACCAAGGTCTCGCTGAGTAGTTAAGCTACCTATAATAAGTAATATAAGGTCTCAGTTTCAACACTCTCGAGAAGCACCCATAAAAATTTAATTTCTCCAAACACCCAAAGCCGTCTACTAGGAGGCGCTCCTTAGCCACACCCCCCTGAGGAATGTTCCTTAGCCACGCCCTTAAATCTGATAACCGCGGTCCGAAAGATTCTAGGGAAATTCCCTCATCAAATCGAAAAAAAAATAACAAGTACTATGATGTTGACAAAACACCAGAAACCATGACAAACAAAAACACGCATATCAGATAAATATATTTCGCAAGGCCTCCCTGAGGAAGCCTTCCAAATATAACTCATCTTCGATGATTTGCACGAGAGAGTGAAACAAACTTTCAACAGGCAAAATCCACCAGGAGACACCTACTTCGATCAAAACACATAATGTTCAGTGTTATACACCAGAATAACCAAATAAACGCCAAGATATGATGTTTTGTTTTAGTCAATGGTCTAAATTGATAGAGTAGCACACGCAATTACTCAAAACAGGCATCTCTCAAAATTTATGAACTCCATGTATTTAGCATGGAAATCAATATTGAACTAACTAATGAAAAAGATGCAGTGTCTAATTTATGACAAGGGTAAAACTTTTGATGGCTTTATAGCAAGCGGTTAGGCTGCTGTGGACTCCTTCAGGTAAGCAATCAGATCTGCACGGTCCTTCGGCTTCTTCAGACCAGGGAAGACCATCTTTGTACCAGGAATGTACTGCAAAAAAAATTACAAAATGTAAAGTAAGTTAAAAACTAGCATATCATTAAATGTGAGATGCAAAACAACTAAAAGGAGAAGCACAGAGTTAAGGTCATCTATAATCCAAATATCCAAATAAAATACTCTCCCTGGTGAACAAATTCAAAATTTCCTCATATTCTTTAATTGGTATCTCTAAATACGTTCTCGGAAAAACAAAATGAGAGAATGAGGTGGGG